GCAGCTCGCTACTTGAATGGTTTCGCTGTGGGTCTCGTAGTCGTACCAACTTTGGTTCTAATTGGCGAAGAGGTGGATAGCAGTAAACGTGGCATGGCTGCGGCATTGCTTGAGATGGGCAGCTTTACAATTGGTATATTCTTGCAAATTTGTTGCATATTCGCATACAGCAATAGCGGTGCTATACCCAGCTTTCAGTACAAATTTGGTTCGACAGAGCTGCATGGCATCTTTGTTATTGGTTTTGCCGTAATAACTTTTCTACTTTCATACTTTTTGGTCATCGAATCACCCGTTTATTATCTGCTGCACAATGATGAGAACCAAGCCATCGATTGTTTGCATCGTCTGCAACGGCCATTTGTTGTGACACAGGAAACATATCAGCAACTAGAGGAGCATAAACGTTATATCCAAGATAATAGCTTTAACAGTGATCTAATGTTACCAGCACTGTTGAAAATGTGCTTATACCGTGGCTTGGTTTCGCTCTCCTTTTCGCCGCTCATCATTCTAGCGCTACTGCTGTCAACTTTGTCATATGCTGGTGATGATACGTGGCCATATATTCTCTTCGGTGTGTTTTTATGGCTGGGCTCCTTCATAGGCGCATTCTTAATGGACTACATAGGACGCAAGAAATTGATGATAATTGGTGCCCTGATTTGTGGTAGTATGGCAATTGGTGCTGGTGTTGTATATAACGACGTTATAAACTTTATGTATTCAACTAAAATGGGAAACCTGTTAATTCTACTCTTCGTGATGGAATTGTTTGCAGGCGTTTTCAGTAGTTCATCTTCAGCTTATCTAACGGAGGCATTTCCACTGCATCTAAAGACTTACTACATTGCTTTATCCTACACGGTGCAAATGTTTGTGTTGATCATAATTACCTCATGCAGTTATGATGAGAACAGTTTGGGCGCATACTTTATTACATTTGGCGTATTTTACGTGGTAGCATGTTTACTGGGTTTATGGTGTATGCCTGAAACAAGGAAGCTTACCTTGCGAGAAGCACGAAGGAAATTCGCACCAGTTTTATACAGTTGGAATGAATAAAATAAAACATAGTATTCCTTAACAGAAACTGTGAAAATTTATATTTCAATCGTTGCGCAATATTTAAGATAAATCAACAAACTTTGGTAAACATTTCAAGTACTTTAAGTAGGTAACTTACTCCAAACTTGCACTTTATTATACTAAAATTTATTATACCAAGGAAACTGCCTATCGAGGGCTTATATTCAATACAACGCAATTTTCAAAAAAAAGCAGATTGATGCTTACCTTGAACATCGCTTGTTGGAATAATTTGTTATTAAATTTCGTAAATCAAATTAACCTTAGGGATGACAGTTAAGTCTCAGATGGATTCTAATATCAGCAAGTAGTTCTTGTGAAAATTTCAGATGTGTAGGTTGTATTGAATATAAGATGATATTCAAAAACTTTTTCAGGAATTCAAATAAAAATATTAAAATTTTTACAAAGTCTGTTGATTTTTTTTAGTATAACACACAGTTTAAAACTTGGTCCTACATGGTTTTTGTTGCAAAATGATTTTTTTTATTAAAAATAATAAACGTAAATAAAAAAAATTGAATTGTGGAAACTTGTGGATTTGTGGTGGGCCTTTAATTTGGACACGGGATGTATTTAGTTGCAAGTACTATATTCGCAAGAGCTCTATTGTTATGCTCATTTTTTATCATAAACTACTTTATTTACTAATTAATAATAATAACAAGTAATTTTTAAGCAAAAAACCAAACCGACTTCAATTCTCATACAAAAATTTAGGAGTAGCGTTAATTTTTTCATGATCCAATGATCGGATCTAAACCAGATTAGTGTGGGGCCAGTAGTGAGACACTACCGTTCGGATGCAAAAAAAATTACCGGTTTACGTAGTCCAAAGTTGTGCGGTAACGAACAAAAAAAAAANACTTTTTCAGGAATTCAAATAAAAATATTAAAATTTTTACAAAGTCTGTTGATTTTTTTTAGTATAACACACAGTTTAAAACTTGGTCCTACATGGTTTTTGTTGCAAAATGATTTTTTTTATTAAAAATAATAAACGTAAATAAAAAAAATTGAATTGTGGAAACTTGTAGATTTGTGGTGGGCCTTTAATTTGGACTCGGGATGTATTTAGTTGCAAGTACTATTTTCGCAAGAGCTCTATTTTTATGCTCATTTTTTATCATAAACTACGTTATTTACTAATTAATAATAATAACAAGTAATTTTTAAGCAAAAAACCAAACCGACTTCAATTCTCATACAAAAATTTAGGAGTAGCGTTAATTTTTTCATGATCCAATGATCGGATCTAAACCAGATTAGTGTGGGGCCAGTAGTGAGACACTACCGTTCGGATGCAAAAAAAATTACCGGTTTACGTAGTCCAAAGTTGTGCGGTAACGAACAAAAAAAAAAA